GATAGAGGTAAAAGTGGGAGGTTTGGGATTATGTCCATACCTCCTGAATGTTAAGTGTATCCTGAGCAGGGTTCCTGTGTTGCTTACCATGGCACCCAGAGCAAAGCCTTAGACTCAGCAAGGTTACATAAATATGAATCTTTGAAATTCATAGGTTTTCACTAGTGGGAGTCAAGAATGTTGAAAGGAGCATTTATGTATTTGATTTCATTAATGGAAGCAGGATGTATACCAGGGAAAGTGGGTGGTCGTGTTATATAATTCTGATGATCAGACTCCATTAGCAGTACTTTAAAAGGTCACAGACAAACTAAGGTGTCCAGAGGATAGCAGTCAAGGTTTTGAAAGATACTGACATTTTGTAGAAAGAATAGGAGGAAGAGCTGTGTATACTTCTAAATAAGTTGAATTCTCTCTCTCTCTCTCTCTCTCTCTCTCTCTCTCTGTGTGTGTGTGTGTGTGTGTGTGTGCATGTGTGTTTGGCAAAGTGTTTGCAGATCTGATTCTGTTGTCTATTTTAGCTGGCTTTTGTACATGACACCTTGACTTCTATGTGCTTTTGAGTTTTGACTGAACTCACCATATATTTCCGGGAAAGTTACCTACAAAAATTCCTTGAGACCTGTGGTTGAAGTGCTGATCTTCCAGAGGGAATCCATTTTTGCTTCTGGCCAAGCACCTGGGGACACCTTAGTCTAGGTCCATTTTTACATGTAGTCCTGATTTGCAGTTTTATTGGACAATCCAGGTAGTGTATGAATTTAGATTGCAGCTAAAATCTGTTGTTGCAAAATCTCATTGCAGATTTTTTCCTCTTATACCTGTGTCAAGGTTTATGTAGGGAAGTTGTTACTGGATTGTAAAAAAAAAATCAAAGTTTGGGATTACCAAGTTTTGGTGATACCCTCAGGCAAAAGAACTGCAGGGGTTAAATGCATCTTCTTGGTTTCCCACATTCACTTACTTTCTGACCTTCCAGAATTCCTTAGCATTAGTTCTTAGTTCATAGATTTATTGTATATACTCTGTTTACTTGATTTCAATTGAAGGGTTGACCAAGAAACTGAAGTGCTAGAAACTGAAGTCCCTCCAGTCAGTATAGAGAACTCTGGTTCCCTTGTGAGATCGGAAGCCTTTTATGATCAGTTTAATGACCATATTTTGGTGGTGGAGGGGACTGATACAGAGATATCCCTGTATTAGGAAGAAAATTGGAGTGGGGATGCACCTCAGTGGTAGAGTACTTGCCTAGCATGTACTCTAGACACCAGCTTTGATTCTCAGTAATGGATAAAAAAGAAAGAAAGAAAGAAGGTTAATACATAGGTAACCTTTTGGGTTGCTTTCAATTATGAAAGTATATAGTTTTAGGTAATGTAATCATTTTTTGCTTCTCTTGGGTATTTGCCATTTGGAACTGGACTAATACTATCAAGTGACATTTAAATCTTCTTCCCCTGAGAACAGAAGTTGTGAATATCTATCAAGTATTAGAAAACATTGAATGTGCACCAGAATTCATCTTAATCCACATTGTGGTTTTGAAAGCACGTTCTTAATCTGAAATTGTTGAACAAAATAAGATTGGCACTTGAGCCCTCACTCTAGTGTAAACACAAAGAGTATATTTGTAGATGGTTGGCATTCTTTGACAGATGTTGCATTTTGCAAGTAGATAGTTTAGATGCCCTGGGATTTTAATTTTTTCTGTCAAGGATTTAGTATAAAGTCCCTCTTCTCTTCTCCACCTGCCCAACTTTGTGCTTTTTTTCAGGATACAATTTGGTCTTCTTCAGCTTTCTTTCCCATTGTGACTGTCAGTGAATGCACTGTCAAATGAACCCTTCTGCTGGAAGACTTGTTTCTTTAGTCTGAGTTTTCTTGGCTTTAAGGACAGTTCTTGAAAAAATTTAGATTTCTTAATAAACATTATCTTTGAAAAATAGAGCATTTGACTTTCCACTGGTGAGGTTAAAAACTTTCTTTACTTAAGCTCTGAAATAAACTATTTTGTCTGTCCAAAACTATTTGTCCCATTAGACAAATCAGCTTCATATAACACCATGTCTAGACTGAAAGGAAAATGTAGGAACCCACAAATTTATATGTACAATAGACCTGTGCATGTGGTATTAGTCATTTTAATATGTAAATGGTACTTAATATCCTGGTATTAGTGTACGTTAATATTTCGTAAATGCAAATTTAAGTGACTCCAAAGTAAATGAGTAAGTTACTTAGTACTGAAAGTATTTTGAATGCTCTTGTTTCTTGGGGCATACACTGTTATAATAAAGATATGGTAGAGACTTGAAAAGACTTCAGGATTTTTTGTGCAAACATTTCCTTTCTGTATGTTCTCTGAATAACCTATCCAGTAGAAGAGTAGGATCAGAGAGACGGTACCCCTCTGTGTTGTGAAATGATGCCCTACCCTTTGGTGGGCCCACTCCATTGGCTGTCCCAGTCAGCAGTAGATTCTTGAGTTACAGTCAATAGATAGATCTCCAGTGAGCCAGGCCCCTTAGATTCAAGTAGTGGTTCTCAACATTTTAAGTTTCAGAACCCATTTAAGGACTCCTAAAAATTGCTGAGGACTGAATAGCTTATGTATTAACTCATTTATAAATAACAAACTTATGACCTTAACATCAGAACAATGATATTATATATCATGTAACAGCTGGAAATTTTTCACTGTATAATCATGACAACATGAGAGTGAAAAGAGAAAATAACATCTTTTTATTTATTTTTATAAGAAATAGTTTGGCCTCAGAGCTTCTGAAGGAATCTTGAGAGGGACTGTGTGGCTCAGAATTTGTATCTATATATAGAGATGGGTAGATAGTCAGCCGGCCTGGAAATATTTTTTCCAGAAATGAAAATAGCTATTGGTTTTTCTTCAAGAAGAGTTCTTATCAGTGAATTTTGAAGGTCATAATTTTAACACAAAGCTGTATGCATGTCACATTTATTAATAAGCTGAAAAGAGAATGCAATTTTTATTCTCTTTTGGAACTTTGACTGTAAAAGCAGTTGATCATCAGGAAAACCAGCAAATAGCCAGAGACTTGATCCAGCCCATGCCAAAGCTGCAGACCAGAATTGAATGGGCGTTTACTCAGCCACACAGACTGAAGGAAGTCTGGGGAGGGAAGGGGTAGAGTCTGCCTTTCTGTTGTCAGATTGCAAGCTAGACAGGTAGTGGAGGAAGTCAGGGTACTCAAGAATAACCCCATACCAAGCATGGAGACATACCACAAAGGATAGTTCCAGTGAGTGCAGATTATTTCAAACAAAATAGAAGGGTTATCTAATTCTGCTAACAATATAAAATGTTCCTGGGATATGCCAGTAATACAGTGGAAATTAGCATCAGAGAATCTAAGTTGAATATTAAAACCCAATGCTGAAATTAACCATAAGGAAAAAGCTGTTAAGTACCTAGCATGCAAAAATGGCCAAATTAATAATGCAGTTCAAGATGATCTGGTTAAAGATCATCTTGGAGAAGATACACTTACTTAATTGATATCTGTTTCTGAAAAGTGATTTGGAAATAAGGGATAGTCTTTCCTCCTTCCCTTTTTCTTGTGCTCTCAAGTAGTTTTCAAAAACAATTTCTCCTTCCCTGTACTACAGAGTATGAATATCTAGAAGTACCCAAAATTAACTTTTGAAAGTTAAATCCAATTCCCAGAAATTTGACAAACTGAAATATGTTAGTTGGCCTTTTTAAAGTCCCAGGTTTCAAGAGTAGGTATATTGTGATAATCAGTTGCTTAGGTCTTCTATTTCTTTTATGACCTATCAACCCACAGGAGAGGAAATAATGTTTCTTACTGCTATATGCAGCCTCCTCCAGCTTGTTGTTTCTCAGTTCCAGAGTTATCAAGCAGCAAAAGCTGATCATCTGTTAATTTGGCTGCTGAATTATTCATATAAATCCTTAACCAAGGTAAATGGTGGTTATGATCACGCAAATCTCCTCCTCCTCAGTTCCCATCTCTTCCCAAGGGATACATCTTTCAGAGTAGCAAGTCTGTAATCCCTGTTTAGACATTCAGGGAAAGTCAAGTTACCCAAACTGTTTTGTTGCATTTGGATTTAGAATCAGTGATTAGCTTGGAATTAGGAATACTTTTAGTAAAGGAAATGATTATAAGGAATGTTTGTTTAATAAAGCAATCTATAATAAAAAAAATCTTTTAAAGATAGCTATTACAACAAGGTAAATCTTTTTGTTTCTTTTCTCTGGGACTTTCCTAGGGCTTTTTAAGCTGGTATTTGTATTCACTCTGTACACCAAGCTGCTTTCTCCTTTGTGTGGTTTCTCAGTAATGCCCATTCCCTGTCCTGGAAAATGCTGCTGCATTCATCTAGTCATCTCACCCAGTCCTGACAATCTGTATGCCTTGTTCAGCCCTTCTTGTCTATCTCCTCCTCACTTAATACAGTTCCAGAAGTCTCCTAAGTGGCTTCTCTCAGGAACCTTTATCCATCTCAGATCTATCCTCTGTTAACACGGGAACATAAATAAGAAATGGTTAAGAGGGGGTCCATGAGTGGGAGACTTGCTTTTCAGTAGAAGTACTTCTAAGTGGTTATATGTTGCAATATGCTTATGTACTTAGATGAAAGTGAATTGGTTCATCATTCTTGTTGACTCCAGAATATCTCATGAAGATATCTTATGAAGATACTGTGACCTTTTTATTCCTCTACTTAAGACCTTTGGATGATACCCTGTTGTCTATATGATATCACCATAACCACAGCTATGTAGGCCTGTGTTTTACCCATGTTTTTTCCACTCCAGGAATTCAGGAATTTTGGTCTTTTTGTCAGAATCTTCTCTGGACTGGGGTTCTGTAGATGCACTAACTTGGTGTGATGGCTTCCCAGTAGTGCTTTTGTCCAGACTGAGCAAGCATGGGTCATATGAACTAAGGTAAACTAATTAAGTGCCTTGCCATTTCCCTCCCTTTCTTCCACAGCAGTCTGAGCTATCAGCTGAAGAAAGTCCAGAGAAATTAGGAGCCTCCCAGCTACATCGTCGGAAAGTCATTTCCTTAAACAAGCAAATTGTGCAGAAGACCAAACATCTGGAAGAGGTTAGTATTTTCCTTTTACAATTTCATTTAAGTAAATGAAGCTATTCTTCAAGGGAGATTCCACAGCAGGGATTGGCATGCTATAGTCCTCAGGCCAATCCAACCACACCCATTTTTCTAAATAAAGTTTTATTGGAACATGTAAACACTTGTTTGCTTACATATTTTCTTTGGCCATTTTCAGAGTTGAGTAGTTTCAGCAGAGACTAAAATGACCTGCAGATTCTAAAAGATTTACTGTCTGGCTCTTTACACGATAATTTGCCAACCTCTGTTATAGAAGACCACAAGTCAAGAATAATATTCATTTACAAATTCTTACTGAGCACAGTTTTGTGCTAAGCACTGAACTAAGCTACAGGGATGAATGAAGAATAAGTTAATGGTCCCTGTTTTCAAGGATTCTAAGGGCTCAACACAGAGAAACTTAGCAGATACCTTAAAAGCAACTGAGGCCAATAAGAGAAGGGCACCAGGAACTAGAGAAAAGGTTAGATCAAGAAGAATTAACCTAGAAGGTAACACACATGCACAGGAAATTAATGTGAGTCAACTTCCTGTATAGCTATCCTTATCTCAACTAGCAAAAACCCTTGTTCCTTCCTATTATTGCTTATACTCTCTCTTCAACAAAATTAGAAATAAGGGCAAAATAGTTTCTGCCAGGTATCGAGGGGGTGGGGGGGAGAGGGAGGGGGCGGGGTGGGTGGTAAGGGAGGGGGCGGGGTCAGGGGGTGAAATGACCCAAGCATTGTATGCACATATGAATAATAAAAAAATTGTTAAAATTTTTTAAAAAAGGATTCTAAGGACTAATGGAGAGACATGTACTAAACAGAACATCCATCATACTCATCATCATTTAATGACACCTGTGATAAGTGCTTGAAAGGGAAATCTAGGCAGCTAGGTAATTGATACTTGACCTAGCCTCAGGTCACAGAGGACTGAGTCTAAAAAGATGAGCATTGGCTGAACAAGAGAGGAAGCCTGTATAGGAGATATGTTGGGCTCTAGTGGAGCCTTGTGAAACAACATGAACAGAGACCTTGGAGAGGATAAGTCTTGGTCAGTTTCTGTTCTGTGATTGGAAAGTCCTAAGTGAGGTGCTTAGTTGGTAGAGTCTAATCAATTAGGATCTTCCAGGTCCTAATCGTTAAGGACAATGGGAGCCACTAGAGGGTTGAAATAAGGGAGTGGCAGATCCACTTTGCTTATTGCAAAGACGGTTCTCTTTGCTGTGGGATGGTGAATTAAGTGGACTTGGGTGAGAAGGAATTCAGAGAGACCCAGCTCTTAGGAGGGTGATGTAGAAGTCCAGATGAGCTGTTGATGGCAGGGGAAGTGGAGGAAAGATCGTGTTTAAGAGCTGTTGCAGATGGCATTCTGTAATGTTTGGGCTTGGATGGGGCTACTTTGGAAAGGCCATCAGTATATTTTCCCTGGAAAGCCGACATAAGTGGAAGTTGGGGAGTTTAACTTAAGAATAGTCATTGGACAGTAGAAACTTGTTACATGCTTTAATTGCATTGACAATAAGACTTAATTAGAAAAATACACAGAGTAGAAGATTGTGGGAATGAATATGACTTTATATAGAAATTCTTTTAGCAATTGATTTTCAAAAAATGGGTGCTATTAGCATTTTGAGCTTATACATTTGCCATTTTTGCAAGTCCCACATAACTACCATACCAAATGGCCCTGCCAGTTATTTATTTGTTTGAGTTTGTCCTGTTAGAATTTGTTCTACCATCACCATGGTTAATGTTTTTAAAGATGGCTGTCCAGCATGTGTAATAGGCCCTGGCCATGTCATTTAGCCAATTGAATGAGGAAATAATAAGGAAGAGAAAGACACTTTAAAAATGTGAGTTTACAATTGTGTGACTTTGAACAATAAAGGTAATCCATTTTACTTCTCTGAGTGTTGAAGTTTTGAATCCTTTCTTTTGTCTGGCGTTATTAACCAACCAGTCATACTTTGCGCTAGAATCCTTAGTACTGAAATGCAGTTTGTAGTCTATGAATAGGCAAGTTTACTGAACTAATTAAAGCCATTGAAAAGCCAGATAGACCTGGATTTGAATCCTGGCTTCATCATTTATCAGCTATGAGACATTAGTTAAGTAACTTAATCCCTCTGAGTCTATTTCCTCATCTCTAAACTAGTATGTTGCCTAATATAGACCGTAGGATTTATGTAGAATACCTAGTTCATGGCTTGACACACACCTGGTATTTACCAAATACAAGAGGTTTTTTTCTTCATTTGTTGTTGGCAACTCTTCTAAAATTCTCATATTGGGCTTGGGGGATATAGCTCAGTGGTAGACTATATGCTTAGTATGTATGAGGCCATGGGTTTAATTTCAACACCATTTTTTAAAAATCCTAATTTTTAATCAGTTTAAACCTTTCTGTACTTCCATTTTCTCTGTGAAATGGGGACACCAACCATATGTATTGTTGTAAGAATCAAATGAGAACAAATTTCTTTTGTCTTTGATTTACAGCTGGAAGCAAATCATACCAATCTAAAATCCAAATACAGTGAAATGAAGAAAACACTAACAGAGGTGAGCAGATCCTCTTTCCTCCATGGGCCTCTGTCAAGAAGTGTATCTGACAAGCACTGTTAATGGGACACTGAGTTTCATCAGCCTGTGTGGAGGAGACATGGTCATGTCTTCAGAGGCTAGTCCGTTTGAGGACATAGGGCAGTTACATAGTGGTGTAATCCATGCTGGCAGTTTATCCACTCTGCTGTATTCTAAGCTGTCAGTTATCTTGGGAGACATGACTGTGGGCTGAGGGTCGGGAAAGCCCCCGAGGAAGGCAGTCTTAGGGGGAAGGGCACGTGGAAGAACTCATAGGGCCAATCACAGTAAGTGGCTCTTACTCCTTAAGCAGCAGTTATAAAATAGCTCAAAATCTGAATTCCTTAAGAAAAAAATTTGTTTTGGGAGCAGAAAACCTCAGAGTGATATGGTTTGTTGTTCAGAATTGCCAGTTACCTTCCTGGGTGCCATGGTGGAGGGACAGGCAGCAGACAGGGAAGAATGGCCTTGGGAACATTTGAACAATGAGGTCCAGTTTCTGATCCAGGTTGCAAACATGCTATCTCACATCAGCTTCACAGGTGTAGCTCACCTCCCTCTTCTAATTGCCTAGGAAACCAGGCACCATTCCACCTCTGTCATGAGAAGCATTTAGATGTTTCTGTATTTTGGATTTCCACAGAAAGCTGTCTTCATCTGGGTCTGAAAAGCTCTCTTCATTGTGATCTTAGTACTTGGGCTGTGCTGTACTCTGGATGGGCCTCACTGCAAGGTTTTGGGCCACTTGGAAGTTGGGATTTCTAAAACCATGCCAGTCCCTACTTTTATAAAATTTCATATGAAATTCACTAATTTAAAATTCTTATTTCTTTGGTAATATGCAGCAATTATTTTCCCATAAACCTGATAAAGCTTTTTAATTCTGACCAAGACTGGTCTCTTGAGTTGTTATCAGAATGTTTGAAAAGGACAGGCACAGGGTGGCTTTGAGAAGAATATTTGCTGCGTTTTCTCTAGGAGGCTTTCATTGTGTTTGGACAGATCAGCTTCCTCTGTACTGTTCTGTGGTGACATTCCTTGTAGACTAGATGGCAGGTTCCTGGAGGATGGAGTCTCTACTGCTCTGTCCCTTTTAATACTGCAGAGTCCTTGGTATGAAGTTGGCCCAGTAGTAGCTCAGTCTTCATATAACAATCTAGAAGGGATTAATTTTCTAGGACATATATGTGCCTTAGGATATAAATTATAAGTGGTCATAAAATGCCTTTTTGTATTAAATACTAAACTAGCATTTGTTGAGCTTGTTTAATGTGTTAGAAATGTGAAGGGAGTTATGCAAGCCAGTAGTTAAGGGGAAGTTTTCCTATATTCAAATAATGACAGCCAGCAGCATGACACTAGTGTGTTCTGGACATGTCACTTGATATAAGTCCATAAATCTTCACAATGAATCTAGCAGCATGCTGTTTGTGGTGACCATGAGTCACATGGGTGACCATGTTCTGCAGATGGGAAAACTAAGGCAGAGAAGCTAAATCATTTGCTAAAGGCCATGCAGTAGGGAGCCAGGATCTGAATGTAGTCTGTCTGGTACCAGAGCCCTTTCAGAGAACTTACAATGTCATAGGATAGACAAACTCATTTCTACCTAGAAAAATGGGAAGCTATACAAAACCTAGTGCTGAACAACTTGTGAAAAAACTTCATTTGGATGGCCTGTGACTAAATAATGACCTTTGCATATGGGCCTGGGTCTTCTTAGTGGTTCTGAGTCCTTTCATGCTTTTACCTCCTCAGCAAAACCTGCCTTTCCGGGATAGCCTAATGGCACTAAAAACAGAAGCCTTGCCTTTCCAGTTAATTTAGGAGAAGTAAGCAGGAGGTGAAAGTGGTAGACAAATAGCACCAGCATGAGGGTAACTATATGGCTGCCTCAGGAAGGCCAGGAGACTGGGTGGCTCCCACATTGGTATGTGCGCCACCAGATCCAGCCTCTATTTGGCAACCTTACCTCATAACTTTAATTTCTTATGTGTGGGGATAATTCTCTTCAGTATATACAGTGTTCTTTCTTTTCTCTAAAGGCATTCATTATATTTAAAGGTTTTTTTGCTCTAACTGTTTCATCAGGTCAGAATTCACTTGTTGAGTTGGTGCACCTTTTTACATTTGTCTTCAGATGTTTGGTGACCTAGTTATTATTCATCTTTGATTTTGAAGCTTTCTGCTAACTATGTCTGGATACTGTATTCATTTTATGCAGCCTACTTCATGTGTCTTCTGGAAGGGTAGTACCTTCTATTTGGTGGAATCATCCAGTGGAAACTCATATTTAGGGTCAGGGATCTCCCTGTTCCTCCTGACTTTTACCAGCTCTCTGGGGCTCTGCCTGGCCTCTGAAATGCAAGCACTGCTCTTTTGTTTAAGGGAGTCAGGCTTCACTGCTTTGCCCTCCTGGTTTTTCCAATACAGATCCCCAACCCTGAAAGCCATTCCTTCCTACTCATACCTGCTGTCCTTTCCTACTGCCAGCCTTCTTTCTTGTCCCATGATGGTAACCCACTTTTGTGTTCCAGCATAATAGTCTGGATGATTTTGGAATTTGGAGCAAAAAGGGATTTCTTGTGCTTGCACTGACATTTTCAACTAGAACTATCAGAACTTTTATTTTGTTTTTTGTTTGAATAGGTAACACATTCACATAGTTCAAAAATTGAAAGATAACAAAGGGTGAACTCCTATAACCCAGTCATCTGTTTACTCTCTTCCCAAGGCAATCAGTATAACCAGTTTCTTCTGAATCTTTTAAGAAATATTTTATTCCTCTATAAGCAATTACTTTCTTTATACATATACACATTCCACATATGCATTTCTTTATATACTTCGGAGTTTGCTATGCTCAGGATTTTTCACCTTGTTTTCTTCACTTAACATTAGAAATTAGAGATCATTATAAAAGAACTACTTTACTTTTTTAATAGGAGCATCATATTGTGTTGTATGATGTTACTACACACTTTATGCATTAAAATGTGAATTTCTTTAAAGTCTCCCTCATTGTCTGCCTAGGAAAAAGAAAGTGAAATTGATTGTGCAAGAGGCTAGGAGGTTTAACTCTGCTGTGACAGTGATAGTCTAAGGTTTAAGCCCAGCTCTCTGACTCACAGTAACTCTTTCTTTCCCCCTTGCTGCCAAAAGGCACCTGCTTTCAGCATTACTTTTGGCTTTCCATCCATTTGCTGCTGTTATTTGAAACTGCTACCAAGGTTCCTTAATCAGCAGAATGTGTCTAGAAGAATCTGAGTTTGACCTTTCCATGCTACCTCCCCTGTCATCCCATTTCTCTTACCTGTCTGTTTTTTTCAGTGTAGAACCAAATCTGGTGGGCTCAGTCACCTACTAGAAGTGGGGTTTAGGCATGAGCCAGGAGGAAGAAAATTGGGAGCACTCCCTCCTCTCTGCCTCCAGGTCCCTACAAGTATGCCCCTATTGTCTCTTGCAGCTGAAGAGTCAGAGTGAGAAGTTGGATAAGGAGCAGACAGCCCTTGAGAAGATAGAATCCAAAGCTGATCCAAGGTAAGGGGTTTCAACATACATATATTTTCCCTGTGAAGTAAGTGAATTTGTTTCAGCAGGGGAGAGCCACCACAGGTCATGAATTCTGGTTCCAGATAACATCCTGTGCCCATCCAGAAGGGGGTGCCAGTATGCTTGCGCTGCTGTACTGAGTTACCCATCTTCCTTCCAGTTTCCCTGAGATCACAACAGCATGTTTTTTGTTTTTCTTATTTGAAAGACCTTAATATCTTTATAGTATAAAGTATTTCCCCACAGTATAGGGAAAAGTCTCCCTCTTGCTCCTGTTCCCAGCTCAGTTCTCCTTCCTGGAGCCATCCATTATAACAGCACATAGTTCAGCCGTACCTTCTTAATAGAAAAGACCTAGTCTTTTTTGTCCAGATCAAGCTGCGTAGTTCCCCATCCCCCACATAAAAATTAATTGTAGTTAGAGGAGAGGAAGCACTTCCATTTGACCTTTTCAGCTCCATTGTGTTTGGGTGGTAAAATCTATGCGTCATTCATTTGAGTGAAATTGTGAAATGAAAATTTTCAGACACAAAATGAGTAGTTCTCATTTGATGGGCATTTATAGCAGAAAGTGCCTTCAAATCACTCTATAATTAATATATATATATTATTATATAACTCTATAATATAATCGCTCTATAATTCGAAATCTTTCTTTCATGATACAGAGGAAAGTGCTGTCAGATATTTGACATTTTTATTTTCAAATTAGTACTTTTCTCATGGTCTTAAGAAACTTGTTTCCCTTTCAGAAGAGATATTAGAAATGTTTTTTGATACTGTGTATCCCCTGAGTACAGTTGAATAATTGGTATCATTAAATATATCCAGTACTATTGAAATTCATTGATGTTTCCACAGTTGACATTTTAATTCTGGAATCTGTAATGTTTGTTTGGATCAGTGATGGTCTTGGGTATATGAAAAAATAATTTCAGTTAAATGGAAATCATTAGCATTTGTGGAAAGCCCATTAGATACTCTTGGGGGGTGCCCAAGGAAATTTAAAAAATAAGTCCTTTTCGGGTAGGCTCTGGTTTTAGCTGTGATTCATAAACTCCTAATGGCTGCTGTGTCAATTTTTGGTCTTTACTTTTCAGTATTCTGCAGAACTTGAGAGCACTTGTAGCCATGAACGAAAATCTGAAAAGTCAAGAACAGGAGTTTAAAGCACATTGCCGGGTAGGTCTCCATTGGCATTGGCAAACAAACCATACTCTTGTGAAAGCTCTTGTTTTCCGTTCCCTGTGCTGTTGGGACATGCTATCCAATGCGTAAAAAGCAGATATCTCAAGTAGTTGGGTAACTTTCCTGAGAGGGATACCAGAGTGAATGAGACAATAGCCTTGTGCTAGACCCCAAAATGGGGAGTTTAAGCCAACAAGCAGTGTGATCTACTTCACAAATACCTTAAAAAGTTTTTAAAATTTAAAAAAAATACATCATATTCTGTTGACACATGGCATTTGTGAAGATAGTAGCATCATACCAAGCCAGGGCTCTCCTGAAAACCTGGGATGTCTGTGTCCCTTGCACAAACCTGAGCTCCTGCCATCTGGGACCTTTCATTCTGGTGGTAGGGTGACATGTGTACAGGTGACTGGAGCCAGAGGCAGGAAGTAAGGCCCAGCAAGTTCTGCATGAGTTCCAGCAGAGGAAGGGCTAGTCCCACATGGGAGCTGTGGAGATTGTCTGGATCTTAGGGCAAGAGCAAACAGGTGGTTGAGGCCAAGGCCTGCTGGGGAAGCAGACAAGCCTGACTGGAACCAGGCTATAAGCTGCTCATCATGTCATTCTCTAGTGATGACTGCACAATTTACCAGTCCTTTAGAAACAAAGGCCCTTTTGATTGAAGAACAGTTGCTGCCTCCTCCTGAAAAGACTTTTCCAGACTGAAATTGGGGATGAGAGTAGCTAGTTCCTAATTGAATTTTTATCCTGGCATAAACTCATGAATGTAAAAATAAAACTTTTGCATTAAATAGTAGTTAAATAATTACATCTGGTTGCTAGCTTGTCCTAGTTTTGTAAAAGTTCCTATTGTTTTTCAAGGAGGAGATGGCAAGGTTGCAGCAGGAAATTGAAAACCTGAAAGCTGAAAGAGTGCCAGGAAGAGATGAAAAGGTAAAGACCAGCAGCTGCATCATGATTTACATGTGGAATGATTTCGCAAGACCAACCATCAATCTTGTACCAAAACAGACTGCCAGTTTACTTAGACTGGGTATATAAGTTTGCATTTCTCAACTGTTTTCCTCCTATGATTTTTGAGATACCTCCCATTTCTCTTCTCTTCTTTCCGGGGTAAAATGCCACAGTAGGTGAAACAGGAGTAACCATAGGCACAATTGATCTCTTCTTTCCCTCCATTTAGGAAATGTCCAAGCTGTTTCCCACTTACCCTATTCAGTTTGTCCATTTCTCCCTCCTCTGCTCCTGCTTAGGGACATGCCTCACTCCCAAAAGGCAGTGTGAATAGGAAAGAGGAGAACAGAGCTGGGTTTCCTTTAGAGACCCAGGGTTTGGGAACATTTGGGATTTAAGTTGTCCATCTGACCAGCCGGATCTCTAAATGAAGGACTTGCTTTTCCAAGGAGCTAGTGTGGATTGCCATTGAATGTTAAAGTATAAGAACAGGAAAATAAAATCTTATTTCTCTGACCAACTAAGATTGTAGAGATCCCTTGGATTTTGTTTTCTCTTGTCACACTTCATTCAGAATTTATTTCTAGAGGGTCCTTGTGCTTAGAATATGATATCTGATATGGCCTCGGAACCCATTAATTATACCCTCCCTTTCCCTTATATGAAGGAGAACATGAGGCTTGGGGAAGGGGAAGAGACTTGTCCAAGCCACCAGGATCAGAATCCCTCCCTGTGCCCACTGTTGATCTGGCCCTCTCCCCTGACTATGCAGGATACTGCTGCCCCCAGCCGGAGATGCCAGCCTCAGAGGGGCCTCCTTACTCATTTTTGCCAAGCCACATGACTTTTCAGTGCATGAAGGACTGGTGCAGATAAGCACCAGAACCAGGAACGTAGTTGTGTCCTTGGGACCATTACCACACAGGCTGTCTTTTTTCCCAGCTTGGAACCTTTAAGGTGTGAACCATCAGCTCAGCTGTCTCTGAATTTGCTAAGATCACATTTCTCTCCTCAGTACATCTTATTTAAGGGATTGTTACATTAAAAAAGAGCCACAGTTTAGCTTGTTAGGATATAATCTGTAGACATTTAAGAATAGTTTAAATCCCAGGGCTCATATATAGGCTGTGTGCTTTCTGTTCTTGCTTCAGATGTGATATGACCAGTGAGCATCAAAGCTCACCTCAACTCCACCTGTCATTCCCCATTTCCCACCCCTTCCTACCGCTATACCCTCAGCTTCTACTTTATTCCGCTTGCTCAAGAAGGGTGTTAATTATGTTGTCATCCTTTCAGACCCTCTCCGATGGAGAGCTGCATGGTGACCTGACCTCTGGTTTGACTCACAATGTAAGTACCTATCTGTCCTCAAAACTGGTGGCATCCTCAGAGGATGTGGCAACTGTCTTCCATTCTTCTGTGACAGCTTCTCAGGCCTACTTTAATGTCTCTACGGCCACCTCATCTGCTGGGTGTTCATAGGCATTGTACCATTGTATGTCCTTGCTCCTCTGATGGAAGCAGGGATGGCCACAAAGGTCACCATTTCAGTGTATTCACACTGACATGTCAACCTAAGAGGAGAAGAGGCCTGTGTTTGACCACATGTGCTGGTCACAGCCCAGGAGCTCTATAATAGCAAGGTCAGCAACTTCTTTCTGGAAAGAGCCATATAATAACTTGTTCAGCTTTGTGGACCAACTGCTGTAGTAGCCACAGTCACTAAGGGGATGAATGATGTGACTATATTCTAGTAGAATTTTATTTAAAAAAAAAAAGCTGAGAGTCAAACTTGGCCCAAAGCTGTAGGATTTAGCTCACATACTGAAGTTTGTTATCCTTGTTCTGAGTTAAACCAGTGCTTATAGCATGTCAAAAAACCTCTAGGAGAAAGGAGGAGGAAAGGGAGAAAAATGGGAAAAGAAGCAGGAAAGCTCTAAGCATTGCCGTCATCATGGCTGCCTGCTTATAACCTGCTAGGAAAGTTGGTCTCTGGTCTCCTACAGTAATGTCTTTGGAGGTTGCCTGCAGCTAAGCCCTGTGCAGGAGACCCTGTGTGTGTGTACACATGCATACCACTTTTTTAACTATTTCTGAGGCAACAGCTGTCTAGCCATGTCTCCTACGGTATTAGTTCAATGTAGGGCTAGTCTCTATTCTCTACATCAGTGCTGTCCAAAAGAACTTTGTATAATGATAGAAAATGTTCTGCATCTGCACCATCCAATACAGTAGCCACCAGCTACATGTAACTACCAAACACTTGAAATATGGCTATTGAAACTAAATTTAAATAGACACTTTTAACTAGTGACTGTCATATTGGATAACTCAGCTCTAGGTAGAACAATAGAAAGAAAGCCAGCATTATTTGCAAACATGGAGGTATAAACACAGATTCTTTAAGTAATGTTTTGTCTCCTCATCATCATCGTTTTTTGTTTGTTTGAGATGTGGGGTAGTAAAAACACATGGATTTGGAGGTATTTCACTTAAAAAAGTAAAGATAGAATGTAGACCCTGAACTTGGCCATTTGAAAAAAGGAATTTGAGTGCTCAGATGGGAAGATAAGGCAAAACATATTCAACTTCCAAAAACTATCAGAAAATGAAAGTTTTCTATTCCCAGATAATTGTGGCTTTTTTCCATCTTTAGGAAGACCTAGACAGACGGTATAACATGGAGAAGGAGAAACTTTACAAGATCCGTTTACTACAGGTGAGTAAAAACAAGAGCAAGCAATACACAGATACATATAACTAGGTAGAAATTTCCTGTGATAAAACGAATGGAAATATCTTAGTGTATAAGAACTAGAAAGACCAGTTCCCTTTCTGTCTAGAGACCACTCTGTGATTTAAGATATTGATGATAGCATCACACATCAATATGTTACTTTCCCCATTTTGCATTTGAGCTGAAGTTCACTCCAGGTAGAGAGTAGGTATTATTAGCCTCATTTTCTGCATGAAAAAAATTGACACCACTAAGTTAAGCACTGCCAAAAGGCAAGCATCTGGTAAGTGCCAGAGACAGGATTCAAGTTCTGGTACTTTTCCTCTGAAGTTAGGTGCCCCTTCTAGCTGTCTTATTTGAGAACCAGGGATTTGAGAGATTGGCACCAAATATGGGAAGGTAGACTTTAAAGCCAGCTCTGGAACTAAAAACACATAGGGTCAAAATTGTATTTTTAAATACCTTACATTGGTAGTATCTAATTCATGAAAACTTAAAAGCCAAGTGTTACCTTGTGTTGCACTTTGGGTCAAGTCGTCTCTGTTCCCTGGGAAGGGAATGCTAGGCTATGAGGAGAATAGCCAAGGGGCGGCAGAGACCTGTAAAGATCCTATTTCACCTCTTTATTTTGCTAAGCTATTTGATTAAAATTGTGTGGGTCAAGAATACTATTTTAATCTTTATAAGGCATGGAAGTACAAAACATCAGGACACTACTGCTGCATATATGGAAACTTTGAGTGCTCACTATAGGTTCAGCATTGTGTCAGAATCCAGGAATAGTAAATGGTGTGATGCGCCCTCTGCGAGCTGGCTAGTTATTTGGGAACCAAGATATGTCCATATCCATCAAAGTTCAAGGAAGTTTATGTAGAAATCACCTACTAAGGGCAGCTTCAGATCAGCTGGAGGGAAACTACAGTAAAACCAGTAGTCTGCTGAGGGCTTTGAATCAGGTGATGTGGCAGGAAGTATGAAATGAGCTGGCAGTTCACTGATAGGCTGTATCAGATGGAACTTAGTATTGATTGAGTGAAAGTAAAAGAAGAGTCAGGGATGATGCTGAGTTTCTGACCAAGATAGATACTTGTGTTATTCACTGAGAGAAGTCATAAAAAAGAAGGAATGGAATGGTAGTCTGGAAAGGAGTGTTAATGAAATCTTTCTGCGGCATTTGACCAAGTAGAAATGTCCAAGGAGAGATTGGTTGTCAGGGCAAACTCTCAGCATAGTATACTAGACAGTTGATATTTGCAATGTGTAGATGATATGAAAATATAGACAAGACCCAGGTCTAAACTCTGGTGAACACACACATAAGGGCAGGCAAAGGAAAATGCACATGAAACCAAGCTGCTAGCAGGTTGGGAAGCAAGAGTAGCGCATGGAGACAGAGCTGAAAGCATAGTGGAGAGGACAGGAAATGCTGACAAAGCTGAGACTCCTCTATTGGTTATGTCTCTGGAAGGTTTGTGGTGACTTTGGCAAGATCAGTTCTGTGGGCTGTTGGGGAGAAGCCCAGTTGCAGAGAGTTGAAGGGATAACTGGGGCAGCATGGGGAGTAGGCATGGCTCTTGGTGAGGCTACTTGAAAGGAAGGATAAAAAATGATGAGCTTTAAGGAGGGGCTCTTGTAAAGAATGAAGGACTTGAGTATATTTAAATGCTAATAAGGAACCAGTAGGTAGAGAAATGTTAAAGATATGCTAAAAAGATTGAATAGTTAGATCTTAAGACTGGGGGTGGAGTAGGGGGAAATAGGAGTCAGAGCCTGAGCATCCATAAAGAGTGTAGCCTTGGCCTAAAGGAGAAATACATATTTTCTTCTATCCACAGTTGCAGGAACCCTATTTTAGTTTGGTTTCAAGAGCTGATGGTGGGTTTCCCACCTCGGGGCTGTGCTTTCCCAGTGAAATAGAGGTCCACTTCTGCTGCTGCTAGTGAAGCAGTTCCCTCAAGTGGGAGGACTGGATGATGGGAGAATTTAAGGTACAGAAGAAAGCAGTGCTGAGAACACACAGAGTCCTGATTCTGCAAAGAGGAAGCCATGTGTGAGCTGAGTGGCTTGTTCCTGTTGCAGCCGTCCCTTCTCCACACTGTACCTCACTGTCTTCCACCTGCAGCCAGTAGGGCAGTTTCCTCAATCCATGGAAAGGTACTTGAGTAGAATTTTCAACAAGGATGAGGAATTTGGAATGTGTTGTAGAGGCAGCAGGAAAATATTCCTTTTATTGCCTGTGCCCAAGTCCCTTACCCTTATTGCATTTTGTGATTCAGCCCATAGCATACCTCCTTCCCTGAGTTAGAAAGTGGTGAAAGTCAATTGGAATCTCAGATGTGGCCTCAAGCCAATGATAGGATTCTATGCCTGCATTCCAGGGCATGTGGTTGGGCTCAGGTGGGAGTGGGAACAATATTTTGGCCTCCCCAGAGAATATATAAGACCCTTTACCAAATAGTGTTGTTTCCCCTTCCCTTTGCATTTAGGCTCGAAGAAATCGAGAAATAGCAATTTTGCATCGCAAGATTGATGAAGTGCCCAGCCGAGCCGAGCTAATACAGTATCAGAAGAGATTTATTGAACTCTACCGCCAGAGTAGGTGCATTGACCACACATTAGCTCTCAAGGCTGGGAAGGGACAGGAGACAAGAAGCTCTGTCACACTAGCATGGTGCAATGTTTACCATAGCACAGTCCACAAATGCCAGCCCAGGAAGGGTTTTGTTTTATCCCCAGGCCTGCTTGACAACTCTAGAGGTCAACATGGTACCCTCACTTCCTTTTCCATAGGCAGATTCTTTAAGCCAGTTGAACTGTTAAAGCCATGCTCTGAACCATCTTCACTCTGGTCAGCCTAATGGCATTCTCCTGAGCTTCTGCTCTACCTTCCATCTTCACATGGGACATGGGACATCATGACACCATCGTCTGTAGATCAGTTCTCCCTCATTGTTCTTCTCTGCAGACTCTCTTGTTGATAGGAACTTTGCTTTATACCATCATATGTACGCAGTAATCCAGGACCATTTTTCCTCAACTACTCCTATCCTATTAGGCATAGAATGACCTTCAGAGTTGTCATTGTATTTCTATTACTATTTCTTCTGCCATATCTATGCTTGCTTGCATCACATCTCAGATAAGTGACCATTAGCTGGCCTGCAGTGCCTTCTCCAAGTCCCTTACTGATTCACCTAATTATAGCACTTCTCTGCTGAAAATCCTCATGTACTCTCCCAGGCCTCCTGAATAAAGCCTCTCTCCTTATACCTTGACTGGAGCTTCTCCATTTCCAGTGGCCTGCCAGGAGGCCACTTTCCTGATCTCAACCCTCATTGTGGCCTCACCAGTCCATACTCTGCCTCTGAGCACACTATGAGCTTTCTCATCTTGCCCTGAGTCTTCCTGTTACCTTTGCCTGGATTCCCCTCTCTTCTATCAGCAAAATTCTTCCTGTCCCAACTCAGACTCTGTAAGCCCATTTTGGGCCCCCACTCTAGGCAAAAACTAACTTAACTACCACTCCTTTCTTCTCCCCTCTTGCATGTCCCCTTGATGCCTAAAATGCCTAAAACCTAACCTCTCTGTTTCCTCTAGCCAGGTTGGACCCATTCAGTTCTCTCTAACTCAATGCTGCTAGCTAGTTCTGTTTCGTGGTAATTTTCTTTACACACACACACACACACATGCACATATGTTACTATTGTGCTGGGGGTACATTGTGACATTTACAAAAGTTCCTACAATATACCAAATATATCATAGTTGAATTCACCCCCTCCAGTTTTCTCCTTGATCTTCCCTTCCCCCATTCCTGGAACAGTTTCAATAGATTCATAGTAATTTTCTAGTTAATTACTTTCAGATTGCTGTTGCAGGCTCCCATCATCTCTATACAGAGTTTAATCCCCACTCTATGTTATTGCCTGAGAGATCTTTCTCAAACATCAAGTTTTATGTCCTTGTTCTAAAAGTTTTAATATTTAATGGCTCCCCATAACTTGTTGGATACTCTTCAAAATTCTCAATATACTATACAGAGTCCTTCAGTGCTGGGTGCATCTTGGTCTGTGAGCCAGTCCCCAAGTCCAGAATGTCCCTGTCCTGCAGTTCCCACATGGTGGATTTCAAAATCTGCTTCAGAGTTATCCTTGAAGTCTCAGCTTTGCAAACACCATTCCTGGTTCAGACCCAAGCTCTATCCTTTCTTCAGGAGTTCAGGTTAGCTTCTTTTCCCCACCTACTTGAGCTTTTAGCCAGTCCTCAGGCAGGTGTCAACAATAATGGCTTTCAGCAGAAAATAGTTCCTATCTTAAGTTAAATCTTTCCCTTTACTTTTCTTCTGCTTGAAAGCTTTTAACAGTAGTAATACTTTTATGTTTCACAAAGTAAATTTCACATGTTAAAGTCATTTTTAAGGGTATGTTTATACCAAAGCCATTTTCAAGCAGTTGTACCAAAGAACCTATACTTATATCAATTCTTTACTATTAGTATTACCAAATGTCCTCAAATGACCCCTGCCACCATTTCCCATCCCACCCCCTTGCTTAGTTCTTAATCCAGCTAAGAGAAAGATGACTGGCTCATTTATTGCAGTGATTTACAGCATTGGCTTTGCAGTGTCATCACCTGGGTCCAACCTGCAGACATCCTCATATCATTGGTCCTGAAATTTCAAAAGCTTTCAAGGTGATTTTGTTTGGACACAGCCATGCAGACCTGAGTCCTGGCATGTGCCTTCTGGGGAAAGGCTATTTAAGTCAATTTGATACCTGCTATCACTCATATGCTGATTTTTTGCATTTAGTTTCAGCAGTACACAAAGAAACCAAGCAGTTCTTCACTTTGTACAATACCCTGGACGATAAAAAGGTTTATTTGGAAAAAGAGGTAAGAACCTTTGTAAAAAGAAAGTATAGCTGGCACTGGTGGCTCACACCTGTAATCCTAGCAACTCAGGAGGCAGAGATCAGGAGGATTGTGGTTCCAAGCCAGCCGGGGCAAATAGTTTGTGAGACACTATCTCAAAAATGCCTAACACAAAAAGGGCTGGTGGAGTGGCTCAAGGTGTAGGCCCAAGTTCAAGCACCAGTACTGAAAAAAAAAAAAAATTACATGACTGCTAATGGTGCTGTTGATGCCTGTTATAGGTACATTCAGTTTAAGTAGAAAAGAGTGCCTGTTTTGTGCCAAGTGCTGGGATTCATCACCAGAACATGCAAGGTTCTTTGGGAGTTCATTGTCTACAGTGAAATGAGGTAGGTAGGATAGCCATTTTGTAGTGCCATGTGAGAAATGCCATCATGAAAAGAAATACAGTGAAGTACTGGAAGCTGGGGAAATTGGCTTGCGTTTTAAAAAAAAAAGGATGAATCCATTGAATGAAACAGAAACAGATAGTGGGTGACTTGTTACGGCTTATATAGATTAAGTAGCTATTTATTCATCAGTGGCAGATACAGGCACACAGTCAAATGAGAATTTAAAGCAGGGCAAGAGGAGTTGGCATGGACACCAGCACTTCTCCATCTTATTATCGGACTCTCCCATACAGGTTAGATCCATTCCTGATTCAGGACTTCTCTACCTCAGATGACAAATGATTAGGGCAGGATGTGCAGCTGTATAATGAACAGAGAGAACAGACCTGGTCTTTCCAACAGCACAGAAAGAGAGGATAGAGCACAAGTTTTGGAGTCTGATTTGAGCTTCAGTGGGGCCTCATTTTCCACTCCTCTGAAATGGGGATCACACCCAATTATGTCTCCATAAAGGAGACAAAGTGAGGAAATGTACAGTCCTCACACATAGTGGATTCTCAATACATATTAGTTCCTGTCCACCCTCACCTGGAGGTTGACAGAACTTCATTTTATCATCACTTTTTCACCTATAATAAGAAAATTTTTATAAGAACTTTAATAAAACAGTATTACACATGTACCTCTTACCTGAAACCAAATCAAGGCTTATGTAATTTTTGTCACCTTGTTGTCTGTTGTCAATCAAATCAGAACTTCTTAAGAAGGAGCTAAGTTTTATGTTTCTCTGCATTCAGAGTCTTACACAGTACATGCACATCACAGGCATTTGGTAAATGTTTGAATCGATGCATGTGTTTGGTGAGATTCGTGTCAGACCTTGGGAATGACTCTGCCCCACAACCTGGCTGTAGTGTCTTCTTACCCGGTAAGGAAAAGACTTGCCACCCCTAACTTAGGGATAGACCAACCCCTTCTCAGAAGGCCTTGAGCCCCATTAACTGATCTTCCCTCATCAGCAGCATTTAAAGTTGTTGCATTTTTTAAAAACCAGGTGTATTAGGAATGAGGGGTGCTGTACTTTTTGACTCCAAATCCTATTAATACAGGTAGAACTTTGCATTTGGATTTTATGTACTTTATTCCAAGTGTGTTTATTCCTACGATATTTTAGTTTTTTAAAAACCCCTCTCTTTGGAGTGTTATGAATAAGAATATGTTTTCCACATTGAAAATGTATGTGGACTTCTATATATGGAAATAGATATGAAAGTATATGGACTTCTATAAACCTGAAGTCCAGATAAGACAGTTGCTTAGTCCTGAGCCCACAGGTTGAGTCGGTACCCAGACAGAAGACCCAGGTTTCTGAACCCCAGACTCATAGACCTTCCCTGGACTGTATCTCTGGCTGTACTGTAGAGACTAAGGCAGTTTCAGTGGTAATGGGACCATGAGGGATGCATTTCTTCACAGGCTATGAGAGCCACCTGGCGTCGAGCCACATTGATAAGCACATTCTGAGGGAAGGATTGGGTTAGGCACTATGTTCTTAGTTTCCTCCCCACCTGACCCTACAGTCCTGATAGCCCTGAAAATAGAGTGTGGTGGTTGGGGAGATAGAAGTGTACTGTGGTGGCGGCATACCCAAAGAACCTTCCTGTTTGTTAGCTTAGTGACTTCTCAGCTTGCATTTTAAGGCCCTTTTAAGAGCCCTCTTTCTACATTCTTGTGGTAATCGTGGAAAAAGGAGTTTTCTTTAAGTAGATGGAGGTGGATTCCCTGAATCCACTGAGAACATGTTGCTTTCTTTCACTTTCATAAGTTACCTTATATAAAAAGGTATGCATTACTTTCAGAAGCACTATCTGGAGAGAAGGCAAGCTTTCAATGGCTGAGGTAATGGGATCTTTCAGTCTTTTACTTACAGTTTTTGTTTGTTTTACTTCCCCAGATTAGCCTACTTAATTCAATTCATGAGAACTTCTCACAGTAAGTACCTGTAAATAACCCAGTACTGCACAGTGTGTTCAGCCTACCTTGCCTTGTCATGGTGTTTGAGGAAGTTGCATGTGAGGCTCAGTGCTGAGATGTGATTCTGATACTTTTTACCCCTCTGGTAAGGACAAATGGGCCTACCATCTTTGAGCTCCTGCAAAAATAAAATAATGTTAGAGTGAATTTTAAAGAGGCCAAGGAAGAGCTTAGGGGAAGTTACCATTCAAATAATTTGATTTTTTGCTAACTACTGTAACCTCTTTGAATACTAATTTTGTCTTGCTAAGTTCAGATAAACACTGTTTGTTCTTGAGCACATACAGAAACCTTAAAATTTAGATAATAAAATCAATATAATAATTAAATTTTTTTGGCTGAACTAAAATTTGAATTCAGAGCCTTGTGGAACTCTACCAATTAAGCCACTCCACCAGCCCACCTTAAAATATTATTTAAATCATATCAGTCTTTTTCTTCTAAGTGTGAAACTTCAAAACTACTTTGTTCAGATGTAAATTTTTTTTCAAAAAATGGATGTCAAGGCCATCTTTACCCAGCTCATACCAGCCTTCAAGCATGTCCATGGTAGGCTGTTCTAGCAGCCCAGGGCCAGCTCCCTGGTTAGCAGGCTTCCTTTCTGTAGCATAAACCTTTGCTGGCCCCTGGCTGGTGACCAGGGTCACATTAAGACTGAGGTCTTAGTGAATTATAGGCTTTAGATTTAAAACAAAAACAGAAAAACCCTAGATTTCTGATAAAATGCAGATTGAGCTAGTGCCTTATGGTCTTGTGACTTTTCTAAAACTGATGATGCTTCATCTTCCTTTCCTGATCACTGAGAGAGAGAGACTCTGCAGCTGATTGTCTTTGTGAAGAGTTCTGCTTTCAGCTCATCCTTTGAAGGGATTCCCTGTCCTTGTATGTGCTCTGATCCTCCTGGTATCCTTCCCTGTGCGGAGCCAGAGGTGAGGAGGAATGTTTAGCATATCAGGATATCCATTCATTCATCTGCTGCTTTTAGCAACAGAACCAGACTTCCCAGTCCAGTTTAGGAACACTCAGAATACGTTTACAAATCCTGAGAAATGTCTCCCAATCCTCAGATTTTTTTAAAAACCAAATTGAGTTCATTTTGTAATTCAGGATAATTAATAGTTTTGTTATTTTTAGTCACCTTTTATTTCATTAAGAAACTACAGATTAGTTAGGAAAGTTGTAGGAAGAGTGTGAAATAAAAGATTAATATTCAGTTACTAGAACAGGCTTACTTTCCTGCCTTTCTTAGAGGTTTAAAATCCTAACTGCCTGGATCCCAGGTGACCCAATGGGTCCATTGTACCTTGCAAAGGCCATGTTGCTTCTTGGGACACAATCTGGGTACAGGGATGACTCCTTGGAGTCTCCCTTACCATCCCCCACCCCGCTGCTGCCTGCCTTTCTTGCAGTCCTGTGTGCTGGTCATACCTCTGCTAATTTCTGTTTTAGAGCCATGGCCTCCCCTGCTGCCCGGGACCAGTTTTTACGGCAGATGGAACAGATCGTGGAAGGAATTAAGCAAAGCAGGATGAAGGTCAGCTGGTCTTTTTTTGTGTAATGACTTAGATTCTTTTGGGGAGGTCTTGGGAGTGTGCTCTCTATCCTGACCACATTCCTTGCACAGGGCTTGCCTCCAGGTACATGACTGTGCATTGGGCAGTGGGATTAGGGAAGCCACAGGTTGGTAAAAGAAGTTACCGAGTGGGAGAAAGCAAAGCTATGTTAGAACGCCAGTAAAAGAAGAGACAAATGGTGTGTAGCACACAAAGGAGTCTTGCATACTGAGGCAGGGCTTAGAGTAAGTTTTATACCTCAGGTTAGGCCACTTTTGATTAACTGTCTCCATTTTAGTGGACATTACTGATTGGTTGACTCTTTCTGGAATCATGGTTCAAATTTCTCAAGCATGGGAACATCTCTGTTCCATCTGGGCAGGGGGCTGGATCCACTCTTCACAGGCAAGACCTGCCTCATGGCTGCCTGCACCCCCGGTTCAAAGACTGCCCTGAGTAGTGGCTCCCAGGTATTTAACATTCATGTGTGCCAAACACTGTGCTGATCCTCCTAAGGGCCTCAAGTGAGTGGTGTTACTCCTACTTTACAGATAAGAAAACTGCCTTTCCCCAGCAGGCTTCCTCTCTTGCCCATCCACTTCCTGACATTCTGCCATTAAAGGGATTTATTCCTAGTGAGTTGTAGGTTCTTGAAAGCATGTTAGTTTTTAAGAACCACCTATAAAAAAGGAAAGTAATTGCTGATCTGATTTCTGCTAAAGTGAAGGGAAATTGAACCTGGAAAGTCAAAAAAGATCAGAGTGGAACCAGAAAGGGGTGTGAGAGCTGCCAGAGAGCTTTGCAGAGTAATACTTAGTCCAGCACAGTGTGGGTTGTCCCTGCCCATGGGCCTGCTTTATCAAGTGAAAGGGGAACTTGCTGATGACTTGAGCCAAGGACAGACTCCCAGCTGTGGTTTCCTGATGAATTTTCAGATGAATCCTATATAGCACTTCCAAATACCTCTTCTCTTTGGTCCTATGTAAAAAAGATAATCATACCAGAGTGGTCCTGAGACTTGGAAGTAAAATCTTATGGTGACTCTAAGCATTTCTTCTCACAATCTTGGGGCAAAGTGCTCCTTTGAGTGTATTCAAAATATGAGCAGTGAAAGAACGAATTGCCTGTAGGTCATAGTGTTATACAAAAATCACATGCAAAAGACACACAGTAAACTGTCTGTAATGTTATCTCCCAAGGATGAGCCAAGGGTAAAAGTGCTCCACAGCCCTTTTGCTGTAGAAAAATATCACTAATCTCTTTCAATTACCTCACTGAAGTAATGTCAAAGGAGCAAAACACCAAAGTATCACTAGTGAGAAGCATGATTTCTCTCACTATTTGGTGACATAAAATGATAGCAAATGTAAGTCAGCACCTGCTAGATGCTCACCCGGGGCAGGATAGAATGAGGGAGCCTCTCTCCATAATCAGGGTGTAAGGTAGAGGAACCTAGCTGTATGTGACAACTTTCCACCTTGCCCTACTTCTCCTCAGGGAGCAACCCTTGCTCACAGTAAGGACAGCAAGGATTTCTTCCTTTGGCTTCCCCTTCCTTTTTTCTGGAAGCTGCATTCCTGCTTTGTCTCCACTCCCCTAGGCAGCTTGCTGTTAGCACCTCAGTGTTGGCCAGTGAAGGGAACTGCTATATACTGGATGGTGAGGGCCTGTAGTTCATGGGGGCACAGGGCAGAGTGGGCTTGCTGAGGTCTGTGTCTTCAGTGACTAATAAGGTGCTTGACCCATGGTGTACACTCAGGAAGTATTTGTTGAATGAATGAATTCATTAATGGACTCTAAAACCAGAGGGTTCCAGAAAGGGGTTGAATATAGATTGGCACCCTGAGTGAAATCAACTGTGTGGTTGAATGCATGTGTTTTGTCGTGTTTGCTTATTTTGAAAGTCCACAGCCCTCCCTGTAATGTGCCATGATGGGTTTTACTTGTATTGATATGGCAGATAAGTCTCTGTTCTCCCAGAGGACAGATTCCTCAGACTCTTGTGGGTCTAGGGTGTCACATGATGATAGACCAGAATTGGGTAGATGTGATAAAGGATCCAAGGGCTTCTGAGTAAAGAGCGAATCACTTTAGTAGGTATTTTGACCTTACCAAAGGAGGTAACATTTCTGGAATGCTGTGAGCAATGCTCAGCAGTAATGCTCTGGAGTTCCTGTCCTGGTTGTGAGGAGGTGGAGGCAATGAGGAAGGAATAGGAGTGGTCTGATGAGTAGGCAAGAAGAGAGTGCTGAGGAGAATACAAAAATGAAACTCAGAGCTGAGAGCTCCTGATTCTAAGAGTGAGAGGGACTCTTCCCCTTTCATGCATTCTGGTGCATTAAGAAGCAACATTTAATGTTTATACTACATGTTCCTTATAACCAAATCAATTATCTAGGTGATATTTTCCTTATTTTTCAACTAAGGGGAACCTGTCATTCAGAAATAGTAAATGACCTGTCCATGATCCACAGTGAGTGGTAGAGCTAGGATTTGAACCTGAGCCTTTCTGGCCTCAAGCTCATATCTTTTCTACATTGCCACCTACTTCCCATAGTGGGTCCTAGGTACATTCATAATTGAATTCAAGTGCATTATCTCCATCACTGGAACATAATTGGTCGTGCCTTGTTTTTTTTTTTGCCAAAGTACTGAGCAGACAGGAGAGGCCTGGATTAGCACTGCCTACTGTGCTAAGTAAGAGAAAGGGAGCTGTCAGGCCCTCCCCAGCCGGTGCTGCTGCTAGGTAGGCAGGCAGCATCAGGTGGTCTGACAGATGGGAGCAGGGCTGGGACCAGCACTCTGAGTGTGGGAAAACACTGGCCTGTGCCCCAGAGGCGATTGCCCACTTCCAGAAGATCTGGGCACAATGCAGGTTACCACACTTGAGACCTATCACAGGTGCACAAGTGGCATGTGTAGACCTGTAGAAGGAGGCAGGCACAATGACTTGGGATTGGATAGAAAGTCAGAATTAGACCAGGGAAATAAGTCCTTTTGTGGGCTGGGCCCTCTGAATGATTTTGGGGTAGGTATTAAGGGTCCAGGCTACATTTTACCTTTGAGGCCAACAGAGGCCCTTAGTGTGGAGAGTGTAGCCCATTCACCTATGACTTGTATTTACTAACTTCCCTTCCAAAATCATGTTCTGGCATCAGTGAAGCAAGGGCACAACATCACTCATGATTTCACTCAACAAGCAGCTGGTCTATACCTTAACTCCTTCTGTTCTTGCATCCTGCTGGCTGATGCTCTGAGTTTATCTTCAGAAAAATTCAGCACATACTATTGCCAGCTCAGATGCCACTACTCAGTCCCTGGCCTTTAAGTCTGAAGAGACCATGTGCCCCTATCCCTCATCTCTAACCCAGATTTATTTTCTTTAAAGTGCTGATGCTTTTGGAAACTTGGATATTTGTCTGTCATATGCTTGTTTGGTTGATACCAAAGATTGTGCACTGTTAGGACAGTGGCTTGCCTTGTGCACTGCTGCCTTTAGGGGCTCTGGAAGTGTTTAGCCAGTATTTATTGAATAAATAAGCTTTTGGCTACCATAGAAAAGTCTTTTAAAATCAAAGTCTAGACGCTTAGTATGAAATCAAAATCCTGGAAACAACCAATATTGTCTACCGTTAGAGAGATGTGTAAGTAACCAATGATCTAGAATATTGTATAGTTTTTAAAATAATTGTAGAAAGGTTATAGGATTTAAATCTCTATATTAAATGAAAAGACAATATGCAGTTTTATTATACAGTATACATCGGGGTTTCTCAACCTCAACACAGTTAACATTGTGGGCCAGATAATTCTTTGTATGGGAATATCCTGTGCTTAGCACTGTGCTTACAGGCATTGCCAGATGTCTCCCAGGAACAAAGTAGTCCCTGTTGAGAAACACCAACCTGTTTACTGTGAAATTGTTTATAGTAATAAAAACATGTAATAAATTATAGAGCCTACATGTAATATCATACGTATAAATAAATAAGCCAACCTCAAAAGTTACATGAAGAAAAGAAACTCATGGAAATGTTAATGATAATCATCTGTTAGAGATTGCCAGCAGCCTTTGTCAGAATGCCTTTCATCACTCAGCACTTTTCAAATGTTTTCAACAGATGGAAAAGAAGAAACAAGAGAACAAAATGAGAAGAGACCAGTTGAATGACCAGTACTTGGAACTGTTAGAAAAGCAGAGGCTATACTTTAAAACTGTGAAAGAGTTCAAAGAGGTAAGAGGAAGTTAGGGTAGCATATTATGGCTCCATTGAAATTTGTGTTCACCTCAGGATGAGCCTTTAAAAAAATGGTTTTTCCATTCTCTTCTTGTCTCTGATAGGAAATGGTATGTTGGCTGTGTGGCATCCAGGTTGCATTGTTCTGTGGCCAATCTTGAGGCTCTAATTAAATTTCTGAGAGTTATCACGTCTTTTTTCCTAGCATTTAAAAAGCATGTTAAATTCACAAATAAAATGCTTCCATCAACCCACATCAAGTTCCACATGGAAACAGTGTTGCTTAGAAATTCATACAGTCTTTCCTCCTGCCCATCTCAGGATAAGGAGAGACCCCGAGCATGCACATGGGAAAAGAGAGAATGTTAATAGTGTGGCAGGCTTGGATTCAAATCCTGTCTTTACCACTTAGCAGTTGTACACTGTGGCAATGTCCCAATTCTCCCAAGCCCCAGCATCCTCTGTGGAGGGTTCAGTGGGTCCTATTTAAGAGCGCAAGCAAGAAAAAAAGAGAAAACATCAGCTCCTGCTGATGCCCACCCTGTTTTTCTCCCTGCATTTGGACAGGGTTCCTCTGCATTGTTCTAGAAAGTAAAGTGCCCTTTTTTCAATATGTTTTTCAAAAAGGAGCCTGCATTTTTCACTTGCCATGGTGTCAGTAGCTTTGTTTCCAGGAGTTCCTCTCCCTTCTTAATCTGAATCCATGTGCTTTGGGTGAGTGCAAGGCCGCTGAAAAGATAGGAGAGTTAAAGGTAGGCCGTATCTTGGTATTCCATCTACAAGATAAGAAATGTCATCTTCTATACAAGTAATTTTTGTATTTATTTTTGAAGACTTTCTGTCTTCCTTCCCCATCTTTCCCTCTCTTCTTGTCATTTTCCCTTCTTTGTGATTTAACTTCCAGGAGCCACAACCCACAACATTTCAACAAATCTCATTTTAATTATTCTCTCAGCTCCTACTGTGCCCCTGGGCATAATAAATGAGGTTGTAAAACAGATCTGGTTCCTGTCCTCAAGGAACTTGTATCATGGAGGAGACAGTTGAAAAGCCACAAATAGAAAACAGACAGCCCTATTGAATGAGAAATAACAAATAAGATATTTCAAATTTTGCTACGTGAGGAGACCAGTGCAGACGAGTCAGGGAAAGGCCCCACAGGCTGAGCAGGATTTGGCCATGAGAAGAACAAGAGGGCTTCAGCCAGGGAGTATCCCTGAGGTACCTGGAGAGCTCCCAGCAATGCAACCTTTGTGGCTGGCAGAGGTTGAGCTGGTTTCAGTAGGACCAGTGAGGGAGCTGGCTGGAAATAAACAGGACCCCATTGCTCCCCTATAGCTCTTTCTTCCTCTTAATCCAAATAAATCACAAAGAGAAGAATTACATTTCAAATGTTGCTTTGACATGCCAACACTGTCCTTTTGACAGTGTAGAAACAATAGGCAAATAAGGTGCAGAGTATAAGCTGTCAGAATCAAAGCCAATAAAAGTAGAATGGAAAAGCTCATTTCTGCACTGCAGGCTGTCAGGACTGAGGTTCTTAGGATGACCTCAGAAGGAAATGATTCCTTCAGTGGTATTTTAATACAACATCTCATCTACACAGGTACTGTTAAATACTGGAGACCAAGGTTCCAACAACAACTGCTTGCCTGTGCCTGAGTTTTCTTTAGTTCAACATAAGTCAAAAGGGAGGGAGATTTAATATGTTCTTACATATTTCATTTAGATATATTTTACCTTTTCAAAAAGAATGTCCTCTTGGGGGTTTTAGGGTTTTGTTTTGGTTTTTTGATGTTAAAAATTGCCTTCTTTTATAAAGTAGCAGTTATTATAGTCTTTTGTTGTTTTTAACTTTTTTTTTTTAAATAATGGTACTGGAGATTGAATTTAGACCTTGTGCTTGCTAAGCAAGCACTCTACACTTAGCTACACCCTTAGTACTTTTTGCTTTAATTTATTTTTCAGTTAGGGTCTTGTGCTTTTTGCTCAGGCTGACTTCGTGTTGCCACCCTCCCATCTCTGCCTCCCACCTAGCTGGGGTTATAGCTGTGAACCACCATGCTTAGCCTGCTTTTAACATTTTATTTGGCAAAACTTTTAAATTGGCAACTACATGTCAGCAT